AAAAAAAAGTTCAATTTCTTCATCAAACTTTTGGCAGTTCTTCTGAAAGGCCTTTCTGCAAGGCTTACATCCTCTTTTCACACAAAATAAAACACACTATCATTTCAGAAAAAAAATTAATGAAAAAAGTTATACCAACCTTAACGATGTGTTCAGACTTTGGCCCAGTATTATTGGCAGAGAATCGTTTCGCAAATTTGTGCTGATGCGACGCCTGATGATGCTGATGCAAGCTGATGGGCGAGGCATAAAACTTCTTTAACTTGAAAGGACTGTTTTCACTGTCTGAAGACGAGGAATCTGCTTCATGCCTGGAAATCAGGCCTGAAATCGGCAGAACCACACTTGCAGACACCAACAGACTCATGATTTCAAGCCTGAAATGACACATAAAAATAAATATATCAATTAACAAAAATCCAGTGTACATACGACCCTTATTTGTTGATGAAAACAATTAGTTCCAGACATTTTTGTTAACCTGAAAGTAACGAATAAGAAAATAAATGTATCAAACGCATAAAAAATAACTGTATCAAATACATAAAAAATATATGCATCAAATACATAAAACATAAATGTATCAAATACATAGAAAATAAATGCTTCAAATACATAAAAATAAATGTTATCAAATACATAACACAGAAATGTATCAAATACATAAAAAATAAATGTATCATATACATGAAAAATATATGTATCAAATACATAAAAAATAAATGTATCATATACATGAAAAATATATGTATCAAATACATAAAAAATAAATGTATCAAATACATAAAATATAAATGTATGCATACAAAAATAAATACTGAATATCAATTGATGTATAACACATGTACAGTGGACCCTTCGTTAAAGAATATAATTGTCTCCAGAAATGTTTGCTAACCAGAAAAGAACACATAAAATATAAATGTGTCAAATATATAAAACATAATTTCATGAAATATTCAAAAATAAATATATACGTATAGAAAATGTATCAATTGATAAATAACACATGTACACTGGACCCTCTCATAATCAACTTAATTGGTTCCAGACATGTTTGTTGACCATAAAGTTTGTTGACCAAATTTTTTTATTTTCCCATAAACTCTTTATCGGTATACACTTTGATGTATTCATTGATCCCAGAAGACAATTGAACATTGAATACTTAAAATTCAAGACCATCACACATAATCAGAATTAGTTGCTGCTGTATCTTATATGAGCATATCATGTTTCTACAGTGTTATATGAAAGTAGCTATCACAAAAACAACAATAAAAATGCTTCACAGGTAGAGGCAATATTTTAGGATACATGTCAGGTGAAGATTACATTTCTTTTTTTGAACGTTGTTAGTGAAAATCAAATAGACCTTTCCAACAATTGAAAAACTAGAAAAAGCAAGCACAGAAAAAGAAGAAAAAATGCTGTCCTAGAAGAGCATAATAAAAATAAGGTAGCTTAAAAGATGTAAAACACAAAATTACACATATATTGGAGTGCCAGAGGGAAAGAATTTTCATATCAGCAATTTTTGCATTTAGATGATACTAAAAGTTTCAGCCTTAAAATCAAATTTTGAATCTACAATTTTGGGATCTTTTCTAGAAAAGATGTGTTGACCAAATTTTGGTTTCTTAACTGAGAGATTTTCCTTCAAAACCATAAGTTTGTTAACCAAGCAGTTTAATAACCAAGGGTCTACCCTATACACTGTATACAGTATCAAATAATGCATCAAACCTTTTGATTTACCCCCTTCCC